TAATGATTTTAACACATAATAATCTTCTGCCGTTATTGAGGGACACAAGTTCGAGTCCTACTTAAAGCTAAAATATATTAAATCCATTTCGACCAGCCCTAGATAAAATGTAAACGAAAATTGAGTTACACGCACGTCGCACCAATTGACGAGCGTGGGTGTTGGACGAATTGCAGCTGATTCAAAGTAAACAATAACTTCATCATGGCTATTATTAAGAAAATCAGTTTTTTCCGTTTCACAGTACTCAGTGTACATTTTGACGGACCTAAAATGGAAGAGTTGTTCAATTTGTGTATGTTTTGTGTATGTGTTTGCAATTTGTAATTTTTTTTTTCTTTTTCATATTGAATATGAAAGTCTAAATGTATTAGAATTATCTGTAATATAGGTAATAATAAGGCAGTAGTAGCCCAGTGGCAACGCGCTCACTTGGGAAAACCGAGAGTAGCAGGGCCAAAATCCAAATTCCAGGTCTCGCACCACTGTTATTTTCTGTTCTTACTGTTTTTAACATAATCACCACTTGTCACTTGTGAAGTAAAACATCGTGAGGAAACCTGCATGTCTGAGAGAACCTAGCAAGTTTTCGAAAGACATGTGACAAGTCCGCCCCACTTGGCCAGCGAGCTGAACCATGTAAAACATTTCGGTACATTTTTCTCCTGTTTGTCAACGGATTTTTTTTGTTCAATAGCTATTGATGAGCATTAGTGTTATTTATAAAAAAGTCCAGGGAATCACTAATATAAATTAACATAATAAAATTAAATAAACTTCGCGAGTGGAGCCGGTGGAGAGAACAGGCAAGTTGTTTTAAAGAGACTAAGTTTATTGGTTTATGAGATTATCATTTCTTGCGAGCACTTGCGAGACTGTGTGTAATCTACTTAGATGTACTTTACTGTTATTAACTATTTAAATATAAAGAAATAGCCTTTACTCGCGGCTTTGGTCGCGGGGCGGGGTTCAAAATTTCAACAAATTTTGTTCAAATATTTTCGGTTTTAATTTAGTTTTTTTCCCCCGACAGTTCGTATACTTTACAGCAAACATGGTCACAGTGGTTTGTAACAATTATTATTATGTATAATTTCTGAGAAATTCTTACTCCCGTAAAACAAAACCGCTAAAAGTCGGAAGAAATAGTTTATTTAAAACGTAGGATATTAAACAAAATATTATCTATGAGCAGTATGGTTGAGCATGTATGTAATTCTTATAAGATCAACATCTATATTCTATACTAATATCATAGAGAGGTAAAGTTTGTGAGTTTGTGAGGTTGTAAGAGCTAATCTCTGGATCTACTGAACAGATTTAGATGAAATTTGGTTGGGAAAAGAAGATAGTTTGAGACACTTATATGATACTTTTTATCCCGGAAATCATCCCTTAAGAGGTTGAAAATGGGGACGAAAGTTTGTATTGATTTGTCGATCTGTTCATCAATCACTCTTATTTAAACGATTATTTCAATATATCACGAAAATTTAACTATCAAAATAATCACTATTTAAAAAAAAATCTTTTTAATATTATTGACTTAGATATTTTCCAGGTATGCTATTGAAAGACCTGAAAACACCTGCTTTTCCTATACAAAATGACCATCCGGCGAGACTTAGATTACATAAATTACTAACATTCTATCACGTCGTAACAAAGTTTATTCACCTTCCTAGGAGGCTAGAGCAACCGCGCATAACGAGAGTTAAGTTACAGTAGTGGTAGCAAGATTTGGATGGGTAACCGTATTTAGTTAAAAGCTTACATTTATTTACATTTTGCAACTATTCGGGTGTTTTAAAATACTAAATTTACTTACAATCCATACTTAATATTATAAATGTGAAAGTGTGTATGTTTGTTTGTTCTTCGTTCATGTCGAAACAGATTTTTTATGTGGAGATAGTTTGAGGGCTGGAGTGACATAGGCTACTTTTTACCGCTTGAGATTATCTCATTCAAACACGTTAATTATAACGTGTATTCCCGTGGGAAAAAATTTTTTGGTCTGTATTAACAGACCAAAAAAAATTATGATCAGAGTTACTTGAAACTGAGTATTAATGCTCTTCAATACAATTAAATAAATACATATTTTATCATTTTTCGAAGTTCATCCCATAAGAGGGTAAAATAGGGGATGAAAGTTTGTATGAAACCTATCTTTTTAGAGATTTCTTTGTAGTTTTAGCGCGAGCGAGAGATTCTGTTGGTATAAAATAAATACTACAATGTTTCAAAAAGTTTTAGAAACTCTCACGACTATCAGTTTGAAAATAAATTTTTCGTACCAGGCTACGTGAAACAAAAGAGCGTACGTGCGCAATCAGCAATGTAGGTTCTTGCGTAAATAAATATTAACAAGTTTTAAATATTTCAAGCGATATATTTTTGCAAATACAAATTAAATATTGCGTGTTTAAATTGATGTCCTCTTTACCGATTCCGGCCACGACAGCCAATCTCACTGAGACTAGCCAACAGCGCTGGAGATACTCGTTTATCTAAATATATGTTGTAAATCTATATCTACATATAATTAAAATTGTAACTAAACCGAATCTGTACATTAAATAGTTTTTGGAAAATCTTATTGAAATAGACATTATTATCGATACAGAGACCGAATGTACAGTTTTTAGAATTTTTGTCTGTCTGTCTTATACCGCATCACAGAAAAACTACTGGAGGGATTTTGATGAAATTTGGTATGGTGATAGCTGGTTACCCGGGTCAACTTATAGAATACTTTTTACTACAGGAAAATATCACATCTCTGAGAAATCTATACTAAACCTCAAAACGTAAGTAGGGACGAACTCGAGAGAAGCGAGGGTGAGTCGCTAGTATTATATATTAACGTGACCGGTGAGAGTTAAGGCGCAAAACCGACGGCTATACGTGCTCTCCGAGGCACGGGGGTGAAACACCACCAACTTTTTATCTCTGGGTTGTGACACACAATTTTCTCACAGGAAAACTCGATAACTAAACTTGTCCGAATCGAGACTCGAACCCAGGTTCTCCGGAATGCAGCCGTAGGTACATGCTATTCATTAGACCACCGAGGCAATATAAAACATAAAAAGTCACGAAAGTTATCACTAATAAGTCGATATCAAAACCGCCACCGCCATTAACTGCCCACTACTCAGTTGAAAGTTTCCTGGATTTAAAGCGATTATTATCAAACGATCGATTCAGAAAATAAAGGTCGCGGGTTTAAACACTGTAGCTATTTTGGTGTGCGAAAGGTCACCATAGAAATAACTTATTTAACCCTTTGAAAATGGCATAATAATATGTATATGGTATATGCTAAGTTGATAACAACTAGGTATACGATGAGAGACGATAAGGTAGACAAAATATGCAGAATATAGTTAATGAAGCCTGAAATAGTATTTTATTTGTTTACAAAGAATACGGTTAAAACGAATCAATTGAAACAAATATGACATAAATATAACACTATCATATTACTCATCGAAATTACTAACACATAGTAAGAACTAAGAAATATTCTACATTATCGATCTTATGTAACATCTCCTAGAACAAGACAGCTCTCGTAGTATAGTCTCGCCAAATCTCGTCAAGTCTCGTCAAATTATATACTAGCAACTAACCCTCGCCTCGCTCGGGTTCGTCCCTAGGTACGTTTTAAATTAAAATGGATAGAGGTAGTATTTTTTTTTAAATAAAACTATCTTTTCGGATTATTCCGCGGATTTATTTTGAATTTTGGTTCCCGACGTTTCGAATGCTTTACAGCGCACATGGTCACGGCAGAGACTGAGTTGTTAGATGTCTCGAAGTATATAACTCTATAGTTGTTACAGACAGCCTACCCACAAATAACAAAATGAAAATTTCACCAATTACATTACAATATTTTTTAACTTTAAACATTTTTATAATTTTAATTAGTTTTATAATTGAATATGGAATATTATTTATTTAATTTTTGCCGTTATCATTATAATTTTTACAATTATAAAAATATAAATTATATTTAGTGTTGCCATTATTATATTTATAACCATAAAGAAAAAATATAATATTAATTATTTAAGCCACACAATTGTTCTATGTGTAATTTAAAAAGTTAAAATTAATTAAGAATAATAATTTTAATTTAGTTTGCTATTATTTAAAAAGACAATTTACTAAGCAACACTATTACTATATACTTTTACAAATTAAAAATGAAAAATACTAATCTGATATGCTGTCATTATAATCCACACAGTAAGAACTTACTACATCTACCTGTCTGTTATGTTGAGATTTATTATTTCATTTTATTATATTAATAACAGGATCCCATGACGATGTTAGTACCCAGCCATCTTCCCTATTGAAATTTGGATGTTTTTTAATTTCTATGGCTTCTCGAATCATTCTAGGGCGATATATTCGCTTTTATACATATATATATATATATATATATATAATATATATATATATATATATATATATATATATATATATATATATTTATATATATCATTATATTCGCTTCGATAGACCTCAAATCCTCGCGAAAGAAATCCGATATCGCCCTAGAATGATGCATACCTCCTTTTGTTAATATTTTTTACAGTCAAGATCAATCAGTAAATTATAGAAGTTTGGGATAAAATCTAAAAGAATAAGATGTAACATGCCTTTAATTTAGAGTAATATACATATAAACAAGATATTTTAGTAATTAAGTTTATGTATATACCTTTTTTAAATTTCACTTTTTAAGGACTTTTAAACTATATAAGGGATAGATTTGTATCCATATATGTACATACATAACCACATAACATTTAATCTTATGTACAAACAGTACATAAGATTAAATGAAGAAAATAAATACAATTATTTTACGCAAAAACGACTGAAGCCAATCAAAACAACTAGTAGATGGCTTTAACAGATCAAACAACACGCATATCGAAAAAGCGTGTTAATCTACGTGTTAACGCGTGAAAACTCACCTCGTACGCCGGTGTGTGCAGGCTGTCCTTGATAATGGGCGCGCTATTCCTCGGCCCAATAAACGCCATTTTGACATTTTACATAAAATTTGTCACTACACCTCACTTTGTGTTTAAACACTATCACACCACAATTTTATTAACGTCTTCACTCAATGAATAAATAAATATATTATGTAGTATAATTTCAATCAGATTTTTGGCTGCAAGATAGATTAAGAAAATATATTAAAATGCTAATTCAAAATATTTTTAGCGCGTTTTAGTTAGCTCCAATTAACATATATTGTATGTAATCAAACCTTGAAAATTAATTTTAACCTATTTCTAATTGTGTTAACTGTCGATTTGTAATTTTGAATGTGTAATCTGGCGAACTCTCGAAAATCCGAAATTTTCGTATCCAGATTTGATGAATAGAGAAAAGACAAAAGAGGCTCGAGGCAGAATCCTTCCTATCAACCAACCAAGTTCGGGAATAGCTTACACCCCAGAAACGTGTATTTTAACAATTTTAAAGTTATTTATTGAGAAAATAACCATGAAACTCTGTTCCAAAATGAATTGTAATAAAATTGGCAAAGACATCCATCCAATAATAAATAAAAAATCGGTCAAGTGCGAGTCAAATTCGCCCTCGAAGGGTTCCGTACCATCATACGTGTACTTTTTATTTATGACTTTTACCCTATGTATATACTAGTATATTAACTTTGATTATCGATTACGAGGAATAAAAAAATGTTTTTTTTTTTGTATTTTTATTATCTGTTGTTATAGCGGCAATAGAAATACACACTCTGTGAAATTTTCAACTCTCTATCTGGTATCTATTACGGTTCAGAAGATACAGCCCTCTGACAGACCTACTGTTATATGTATAACATCCCGATCTCCTCGCAAGGGAAATTACATGAAGTTATACCAACACATATGTACTGTACAAGCAAATAAATAAACGCTGTTTCAGTTCCTTTTGGGAAACATAATTCTGCTCAAGACATTCGAGTTGTGGATAAAGTAGAGGAATTTTTAAACACTGAAACACTACAACAATTTTTCATAATATACAATCATAAACAAAAAAATAATCTCACGATTTACTTGTATGATTTCTATAGAAAAAAGAAATATCTACCTATATATATATAGTATATACATACAGTTAAATAAAATTGAAGTGTATGTAATGTTGAAATAACAGCTTTTTATTAAATGCATGTGAAATTATAATATACATTATTAAAAGAAAAACACGTTTGTTTTTAATTTTTGTCTACCTGTCTGTCTGTTTGTTCCGGCTAATCTCCAAAACGGCTGGACTGATCTTGACGAGACTTTTCATGGCAGATAGCTGTTGTTTTAAGGAGTAACTCAGGGTACCTTAATTTTAGGAAAAGAATTAGGGTTCCGCACAAAAAAATTAAAAGGTACACGAGCAAAGCAAGGGTAAGTCGCTAGTAAATAAATAAATATTCAGATAAATCAGAAAATATTCAGATATTTAAAAACAAAATGGCGTAATTTAGAAGGTAAGGAAGGTGTTTATTGAGGAAAGTTACGCTATGACCCTACGAGCCTAAACTTTCAGCAAAAACCTAGTACAAAAATATATATAAGTATACAAATATAAATATATATCCTATGAAACATGAACGATTTCAATATGACATGATACCTATGCCTGTCAAAAAATCAATCTAGATAATTTTCACGGTGTTCACGCCGCGACGTGATCGCGTGTGACCCACTGACTAATATCAAAGATACGTTAGTACGGTACGTTTTTAGTCTCGTTTTCACGCTCATTTTAACTGTATTTCAATGAAAGATGAAAAAACTAAAAATAAAAAATCGAAAATCTTTTATATATTTTTAGATCTGTAGTCTACTTATTATATTTATATATTTTTTCAAAACACTTTCATACAAAAAATCCCTTTTTATCCAACTGCAGCGAAGGCCAAAGAAAGGTTATGTGTTTTTTAGTTAATGTTTAATATAATATTCCAAGAAAACCCCATCAAATGTCAAATAAAAATACTATATGGGCCCATAAGCTATGTTCATGCGAAACGCCATTCTAATTGTTAGCTCCATCATTGCGTAAAATAAGGACATACCAACTAAATATGTAATAAACCTACTTTTGCATCTATGAGTCTAGTATAGTGTATAGTAGATATAGTATTTTACGTACATATTATGTGTTTTATTTATATTTTTTTAGATATATTTGATATGGGAATCTGCTTACATATTTAAGATCTTTTTGTAAATATTGCCTTAAATAAAAGATAAAATAATATAAATAAATAAATTATAGGTAAACTAGCATTGCCCGCGGCTCCGCCCGCGTTCAGATGACCAAAAACCAAATTCTTAGGTTTTACATATTAGTATACTCTTACATTGCAGTATTTGTATTTTTTCTCAGAGACATTTTCCCGCGGTAAAAAGTATTTTATATATTGACCAGCTATCACCATACCAAATTTCATCAAAATTCCTCCAGTGGTTTTTCTGTAATGCGGTAACAGACAGACAAAAATTCTAAAAACTATGGATTAGGCATCTGTATCGATAATAATATTTATTTCAATACGAATTTCCAAAAAAATATTTAATGTACAGATTCGGCTTACAATTTTATTATATGTATAGATGTGAACTATCTCCCTATACAAAATCTACAGTGTGCGGGGGCTGTAACAGTCAATTCTTTACAGCTTCACTTCCTATAGAATATAACATTGGACAAGGACAAAGGAAATTAGCACTTTTTGCGAGCACGCTATAATTAAACGTTATAACACTCTAGACTATGTAATCACGTAAATATTCAATCATTACGGCGTAGTGGCACGTGTTAGCACAACGTAGGTCACGAATTCAAGTCGTCGACCTTGTAAATTTTCGCAGCTTTACAAACTAATCTATACGAAATTAGTTTTTAGATAGGTAATATGAGTAAACACAGGTACAGGTCTATACTAGTACTCTGGAGGCGAGGAAGAGCCAAACCAATATCCCAACCCTGTGCTGCTACGTGGAATTTGTTATCCGGAAAAGCCAAAACTCACTTGACTCTAACATGGGGCTTAAGCAAGCTATCATTTTGCAAATAATAAAAGTTCAAAAAATATATAAATTAGAATGTCATAATACTAACACTCTGCGACACAAAGATTAAAGTCATTTAAATACAATTAAAAAAATCTTTATGACTATAGAAAGACATCTTGTGTTAGCTCCCAGTACTCGAACCCAGGACTAAGAAATTCAGTCAAGTTACTTAACCAGAAGACCAATGACACAGTCGATACAATTATACACAGTTTGAATATAGACGAAAAGCAACATGCCGTGGCGATGATTGCCGTAAGGCATTCGAAACTTTTATTCGAAAATTTTTAATTCGCCTAAATCCAAAAAGTCTTATCAGAAGCAAAGAGCTTAACTATATCTGAGAAACAATGCTAATATAATAATAATTTAAATAGTTTTTATAGATATGTACAAAACTTCATATGAATCTCGCGATCTACTAATTATGTCTTTAAATTAACATTTTAGCCGTTACATAGCCAATGCACTCGCTGAAGGCTAACATCTCAGTAGTATTATTAAAATTATTAAATATTAGAGTATAAAATGTTCGTTCATTTATCTTTTTTAAGACAGCTAGCTAGCTGTATGCGACTGATGGTGACGTAGGAGTCGATTTTTACTATTTGTTTGGATTTGACTTAACATACGTGTTTTATGAAGAAATTAAAATAGCATGAGGATTTTGTATTTAAAATATAAATATACCCGCCTCCTGTGCATCATCTATTTTTTATATATTCTTTTTGTATATTTCTTTGTGGCGTACAATAAAGTATCTATCTATCTATCCTAAATAAAACTATCTTTTCGGATTATTTCGCGGATTAATTTTGATTGTTGGTTCCCGACGTTTCGAATGCTTTACAGCAATCATGGCCACGGGAGAGACTGAGGTGTTACATGTCCTAAAGACATACTTGTTAAGAAAGTATTATACAAACTTAAACAAACGTCGGAAACCAAAAATCAAAATAAATCCACGAAATAATCCGAAAAGATAGTTTTATTTAAAATGTCAAATATTCGCGTAAATCTGAGAAAGTATTATATCTATCTATATTTTTTGATACTAGCGACATTCCCTCACCTCACTCGGGTCCGTCCCTAAGTTTGAATGGTTTAGGAACACGTAGAGGATAAACATACGAACATTCAATTTTATTTATATAGAAGAAGATAGATACACTCGTGGAACGCCGGGAGGCAATAATAGATCGAGAAAGCGTTTCAATTAAGCGGGTTTCTCCGGTGAAAGTCAGTAAAGGGTGTTCGTACCTTCTATGGCTCGAGTATCGTTATGATACTAGATTATTGATGTCTTACGTTTCTTAGAAAAATATTTATTCTTTAAACCAAAACTACTTGTTTATTATCTTTTTATTAAAATTTTGAATGCAGAATCTGTTTGTTTTTTCGTTCGTTTGTACCTATTGTTTTACGCAGCAACTACCTATCGACGTTATTTAAAGTATTGAGTTTGATTATGGAACTAACTTCTAATCTCTATACATATCTCATATATATATATATATATAATCTCGAAATCTCAGAAATCATAAACGTTACAAACTGATGTAATTTGGTAGGTAAACTCATCATAATCCGGGGACCCGCTAAGGAAGCAACTTTGTAAATTCAACCCCTTAAGTGACAACTTCTGACAAGAAGGGGTTAGATAGAAATTTGAATGAAAATCAATTTTTTTAACTACACGGGCAGAGCTGCGAGCTATTGCAAGTCACATATTTCGAAGCACTAAATCGTTCAAAAACAACAATTTGCCCTTTAAGTTATATATTCTAAAATAGACCATATTCCTATATACATAAGACCCTAGCGTTCAAAGTCGTGTGAGCTATAACAATTGCACCGGGTCAAGTATTTGAAAGGTTTTCACGATATGAGAACTTGTGAACGGTCAACGAGTTTATTTCCACGCAAGATATGTACAAATATTA